CCAGAAGCTATTAACCATCTCTTTGCCATGAGAGGAAGAGGAAAAACTCAAACCCAGTTATTTTCCCTGGTGAATTCCTATTTCTTCTGCTTTTCTTAAGATTTGAATGAACTGCCTTTTTCTGCATTTAATCTGGACAAAATGGCTGCCTATCTGTTTTAACATCTGGACTTCTATCACATGGCCCCATGACAGGCTTTCTCCTGTTGCTAAGCTTTCATGTATTTTCATGTGTTTTTTGTCTATAACATAGAAAATTTGCTACAAATCATCTTATCTAAGATGAAAATAATCTGATCTAACAAAATCTATTATAAGATATAACAACTCTGTACCAAGTAATAGAGAGCTGGTTGTCCTATGCCGTAGGGTAAAATTCATACCAAAAAAAGCAGAATGCAACCCCTCGCACCCCAAACCATTCTCTGCAAACAAGGTAACTGAAACAAAATGGCATTCTCAGTTTTTCATATTCAGTCTGTATTTTAAAGAATATAACAAAAATAAAAATGGAACTTCAAAGACTGAGTTTGGCTTTTCTAAAATAGATGGTTAAATTCAGATGTTCAATTAAAATTTAGCAAATTTCTAACCAGAAAATTCAATTTACTTCAAAAAATGTGTTTTAAGAAGAATTTTTTCAATTGCTTTAATTTTTATAATTGCTTAAGTGTAAATGTAATGTTTGTTTCATTCAGAAATACTGTTTAAAGGCTTAACAATTAGAAAACAGCAGTTATGACAAATAGCTCAAATTGGGAAATACTGTCCATCGAACCAACACAGCAATGGAACCCAATGCCCAATTCAAACCACCCTCTGCTGCCCACCTTGTTCTTCCATTGAGAGGACTAGTTATCAGCCTGTGAAACGTTGGATTCACCACTCACTCACTGGAAACCAGGCTAACCCAAACATTAACCTCAAAACACGTCAGTTTTCAACAAGTTCCTGAATGCTCTCTGAGAGGGATCAGCAGCACAACACTTCCTCCTCTTCCTGGCTTGTACCCTGTGCTTTCTGGTTGCTCCTCCATCGAGACAAAGGAGTAGCATGAGATCTGATGGCCTTGCACTAGACTGCAGATGTGTGACCTGCCTCCCTCTCTAGTCCATCCCACCTTTCATAGAGGAACGGTGCCAACTCCTGCCTACTCATTACACCACAGAGAGAAGAGGGAAATCCTTTGAGAAACACCTGGAATTCCCACAATTTAAACAAACAAAACACCCTACCTTTATATTGTCCTTCTCTGCCTATCCAAAAGAAAAAGTGTGAAGTAACCTGAGCTAGTGAGAGATGTCCCTGCCAGTGGCAGGAGAGTTGGACCAGATGATCTTTAAATGTCCCTTCCAAATCCAAACTATTCTACGATTCTGTGAAAGGCTGATGACTGTGCACCAAATACTTTTCCTTAAATTGGGACATTTCAAAAGATATAGCAACTGTATTGGCTTTGAGCTGTTATTTGCATGGGAGTGGCTTTTCAGTGCTGGCTAACAACATTTTATCCCTTTTCTGGGGAAAGGACTCTGTTTCTCTCTGTAGTGCTTAAGATACTCCATAAATGTTGAAGTTATACAGACAGTGTATGAAAACACTCTAAAGCCCTAAGACTTCTCACTTTTCCAAATGGCCAGTGTAAGTTTGGGCTGGAGTTTCATAGTGTTCACTTTGATCAGGACAGAGTATAGGGGTTCAGTTTAAAAGCCTAAGGCTGAAACCTGACTAAGGAAAAGCATTAGTTTGTTTGCAAAAGAGCCAATTATTTCCAGTATTTTAATGGGCTTTGAAGCCCAGTTTGCATTCAAAATTGACTAATGCCTCATCTAGGATATTAGTTCAAAACATCTTAGCAATTAAAACAATGCAGAAATCTCAGAAGTTATGAAAAAGTAGACTTTAAATACAAAAAAAATATATTTATTTTTGGAGTTTGAGGCCCTTAGGCCCAGATGTCTGTAAAGTATAATATTTAAACATAAAACACATTCAGAAGGAACTGTGAGATTTCTAATTTTTTCCCACAAACAAAAGCACATCAACACAATTATGATTAATTTTCATCATAAGCTTTGTGGGAAGATTATGCTGAGTCAAGCTGTTTCTTATTACTCAGGGATCACGGTGCTCGATTAGCAGTCCATACTGAAGATGTATCTACATGTTAGCAGGTGTATTTTCACACTAATTTGACCTCTACTGGTCTGGAAGCTGGAGAGGTGAATAAGAAGGAATGTATAACACAGGAAGCAACAGCAGCAACAAAGCCATCAAGCGATGAGGAGAGTTAAAGGTTTGTGTTTTCATGATGCACAAAAAGTACAAGCAAAACAGTATTTGATAAAGGTAACACAGGAAGGAAAGCAGAGTGTCGTGGAATGTGCGAATAAGATGTTCATAATTTTGAGACACAGGGAGAAGACAGACCGCGCCTGTCCATAAAATGGTTTGGGTCAGAAGGGACCTTTAAAGATCAGCTAGTCCAACCTGCGACCCTGTTCCTGCAGGACAGATTTTTACCAGTGGTGGTTTGGGTGGCGTGGAGAGGGGTCATGCTAGTCTGGAGGAGTCACCACAGATGTAGCTTTTACAAAAGGTCAAAGTGGTAATTTTGCAAGAAAGCTGTAAAATCACCAGGAGAGATGTTTGGCATCATGATGCCTAGGGGTATCCTGTACTCCATCTGGGTGTTTCTCCTTAGCTGTTTGGACAGAAAGCTCTTTAGAGGAGACGTAAGAGGTGTAACTTTCAGATGCACATGTGAAAAAGCTGAGTGTGTGAAAGCAGCTATATGGGGGATGATTTCTGTACTTATTGTCAAATCATTTCCTCCTCAGTCTCCACTGACTGAAGCCGGTCAGAGCTCACCCTGCAGAACCAGTGATTTTATCATTGGTCAGTTCCCATGAACACAAACGGCCCCTTACTCCTCAGAAACACAGACTGATGCACTACTAGCTGGTGTCCACAAATAGCCAAAACAAAGTTATTCTAAGGTGATCTACTTCCTAATAGAACAATACAGTTAGAAAGCAACCCCAGAAATCAGATCCAAACCAAAGCCAGTGCATCTTTTTGCCTTCTACTTGTAACACTTCGAAAGCAGCATGTGCAGCTGGAGTGCAATTCCTTCCTTTTACCATCTGGTGCAATTTAGCTTCTCAGCCGCCTGAACAACCTGCCACGGTCTGAAGCTGCCTGATGGAAGAATTTACTGGGACAGGCTGTGTTTACAGAGGCGAGGAGGTACTAACAGACAACTTATCAACAGGCACAGTAATTTCTGTGGTCACTGTTTGCACAGCTGTAACAACAAAGGAAAGTACTATCATTTGATAGGTAATGTTTACTACTCAAATGCTAAAGCACGGCTTATGAATCCTGTCCCTTAAATAAATGCCAGCATATACGAATGGCATCTGGGAAACAGAGGGTCTATGACCCTGATAGCTATACACCAAGAAATTCTAATTTAACTACTAAAAAAATAATCTCACAAGTGTGTTTTGAGGTGATACCAGGAAAAATAGAAAGCTTTTTTAATTGTTAGTATTTAACTTGTTTCTGGGCTTCAAGCTTGACAAGCTCTAAGGTTTAAATTTTGAGTGCTTGAGAATCAGCCATTTGAAATGTGTGGCCACGCAGCCAAGTTGCTGCTGTTTAAACAATGTAGTATTGTACTGTGAGATCTCTAGACAGGCTTTGCTTCAGTTAACTTTTATCAGAGCTTGCTTTGGAGCCCAGGTTTCCCAGCACTCCTCTGGAAACAGACCACCCCTGCCACTGAATTGTAGGCCATGAGTCAAGTTTCCAGGCTGCAATATAGTGCACACGAGTTCTTCCCCAAAGAAACATACAGGAATAATGAATGAATCTGCTAATAAAATACAGTTCAGAAAAGTTAGGAATAATTTATCCCATAAATATTGGCATTTTGCTAATCAAACATGCTGTGCCACAAACCTTTTTCCATGTAATAAATTTTAATTCACAAGACCATGGCAGCAATCCTAATGAAGATTAATTACTGCAGTCCCTTCCGTAAAGCCCAGTGCAGCTTCTTTCTTACTTGCTGTCAGAATGCTACAGCACATAGAAATGGTAATGAAAAAATATTGTTTTGTGTTATTCTCCTTACTGGCCACTTCACTGATGTAAATCAAAACAGCTCTAAAACTAGATTTATAAAAAACAACCACAGGAAAAGGGATGAATAATCTGCTTGTAATGAAATACCAGTATAACAGTACTAAAAGCAAAAGACAAGTCTGTCTCGGAGCTGAAGTACCATAATCTGGAAGAAGAAAAGAAATATTTAAATGGAAACCAGACAAGCAAGAGAATATGCTTAATATTTCTTACTATTGCATAGGAAGCATACAGAGGATCTGATGGGAAAAGGCACTCAAATCAACCATCAACATCTCGCTTTTGCTCTTTCTTTAGCTTACCTTCTAAAGGCTCTAGTGAACAAGTGGCAGTGGACTCGAATCAGATGTCTGAAGCTGTAACAGCACTTTACTTTCCCGTTCCCATTGAAGACATCACTG